CCCGCACCCTTTTCCTAACGCCCTTCGAGTCATAATAGTGCTCGAGCTACCCGTGTCCACAAGACACTTTACTCCCCCGTCTACTTCGATAATTGGCAACCAGCATGGCTTACCTCGGATGTTGTTGCATATTGCTGTGCGGTCGCCTCTCTGCCGACACACTCCTCAGATGTCGTCCCGCTTCCTCCTTTCTGCCGCCGCTCGTCGCTGCTCACTCCGTTGGCTGCGCCTACCTCCTTCACCTCCGCTGCTGCCTGGTTCGTCCGTCTCCGTTCCCGACGCTCCTGACTCCTCGGTTGCCTCCTCCGAAGATCCGTCCCGCTGATGTACCCTGGCTCGTCTTTTCATCCTCTGCACATTCACCTCCATGGGTTCGTCCTGAGGTCTCTCCCTCCTGTGAAATATGTATGGGCACTGCCTTGCTATGTGCCCTTCCGTCCCGCACTCGAAGCATCTGGTGCGCGGACATTGCGCTACTAAATGTCCCGGCTTCCCACACCCGTGACATTTTCTCTCTTCCCTCCGGGGCCCATTCCTCGGCCTCGACGACTGTCCCGATCTTCTTTCCCTCGTCGGGGCTTTTTCTCCACTCAGCTGCCTTGTGTCCCTCTTCTTCCAACCTGTCGGGGCTGTCCATGGTCGTCTATCCGTCACTCGGGTCCAACCCGGTTCTTCCACATCCATGCGTGTCTCCTCCTCTCTGGCACTTAGGTCGATCATCTCCTGGGCACATTCGAGGAACGATCGCTCTCTGGGCAGTCCGTCCCTCTTCCCCGTTTCTTTAGCCAGCTGGACTTTCAATATTGTTGACAGAAACTCCATCCTGGCTTCGACCTCTCCCACGCTCATTGTTTCCCGCATCTTCTCGGTTATGCGATTGTACTTCGCCACGAGTACTCCCGCATATTGCCCCCTTGACTGTCGTTGGGCCCGCCGCTCCCTAAACATTTGGAATATGTCCTCTTCCGGTGTCCACCTACCTCCTCCAAAAGCCTTCTTCAGCCGCTCCTTAATCACCGGCCACGGAGTCTCCTCGTCCGCTTGGATCTGGTTCAGGACGTTCCTCCTTACTCGGCACACAAGAGCTGCTTTAAGTTCTTCCGCGTCCCCTAGGTTCACCAGGTCCTCCGCCACCTTCACCTCGATTCTTGACATAAGACGATCTCCGCCTTTCAAGAAATGGTTGAGCTCGCCTACCTCGCCTCCGAATCGTTCTAGGTCCGCAATGGCCCTCCGTAAGTCCTGCGTGGTTGTTGCTCTTATTTTCATCCATTCCAAGGCATTGGCGTGTGCTTCTGCCAACGTGTCCCTTGGTAATGGAGGGATCTCCTGGATCTGAGGGATCTGTGCTACCTGAGGGACTTGAGGTATCTGAGGTACCTGAGGCGCGATCTGGGGTACCTGATTGATCTGTGGAATATCCTGAGGTTGAGGAATTTCCGGTACGCTTAGTACTCCCGGTCTAATCAATCCTTCTGTCGGCATTTCACCTTTTCCTTAAACACCAAAAAAAAAAATATCTACTTAAAAAAAAATTACTTCCCTGACGTTGTCCCGGGTTTCGGCACCAGTTAAGCGTCGTCGGACTTAAGAAATAAAAAAAAAGAAGGAAAAGGGAAAAGATGTAACATACACGACTTCTGAAATAACACTGCTTTATTCGTTCCATAAGCCTCCTTATATACACTTAGCCTGTTTATTTACATTACCAGATAGTATTAAGGCTGATACCGCCAGTCTCCGGTCTTTATCTTATATATATATATATATATATATAGTTGTATCCTGCGAACTACTCATTTACCTTTCTTATGAAAATATTCCACCATCATCCTTTTCCCGAAACCAGACAAGCCTTCCAATAATACAACATCCTATAGACCAATTAGCCTACTCCATATCCTTTCAAAAATGTTTTAAAAGATCCTACTAAAAAGAATCCTACCCACAACAGAATCCCAAAAAACCTTACCCATCAACTCAGATTTCCGTCCTAACATTCCACCGCCCAACAAGGACTCTGAGTTGTTAATCACATATCCTCAGCCATAGAAAACAAGCAGTATTGCTAGAGTGCACTTCTGGATAAAGCGCAAGCTTTTGACCGCCGTATTGCTCGTCAAGCTCAAATTCCACCTACCACAGTCCTTATATCTAATACTCCGATCCTTCTTCTCCGACCGCTTCTTTCGAGTTCGCTGTGGTACAGAATTCTCCGTCTGTTAGTCGGTTGAGGCTGGAGTTCCTCAAGGCAGTGTCTTGGGTCCCATCCTTTACATTCTTTATACCACTCATATCCCCGTCCATCCCGATACCTTCCTGGCAACTTTCGCTGATGACACTGCTATCCTATCTTCCAACTTAGATCCTGAAACAGTGTCCATAAACCTGCAAAGGCACCTATCCCTAATTGAACACTGGTGCAAGAAAAGGTGCATCAACGTAAATGAATCCAAATATAACATATTACCTTCACTTTTCGTCGAAATTTCTGTCTACCAGTTTATTTTAACACTATTCAGCTTCCCTTCTCAGACACAGTCCGATATCATGGTTTTCTTTAAGACATACGACTAACATGGAAACCGCCTAGTAGACTTAAATGACAAGAACTTCACCGACATTATGACCAAATATATAGACTACTAAATAGAAAATCTATAATTTCTATTGAAAACATTTCTTTTGAGTCTGCAATTAGGACTTTATCATCTGCATATAGTCCATTTTCCTATTGCAGTCCATGCCGTTCTGCGCTTCCAAATTTTATGAATCTTAACCATCAAAATCATGAATAGGAGGGGACTCAGGCTCTCTCCCTGTCTGGGGCTCTCCTCCTTTTCATAAGGAAATGATTTGTTTTTTTTTGCCAATCATCCTTATGACACCATTTACATTTCTATATGTGGATTTAATTTCCTGTATTAAATCTGAAGCCACATGCTTTGCAAAGAGAGAATTCCATATTTCATGTCGAGGCAAAAAATCGAACCCAGCTTTGAGGACGAGAAAAGCCATCCATATAAATAATTTTACCTCTAAATATTTCAGAGTACAAAGATGTGGTCCTGGATCTGCATGTCCCTTTTCAGGTTGGATTTCCACATTACTTCTCAACTTTCTTTCAAAGATATTTGTATAGATTTTATAAGCAACAGATAGTAAGCTAATCGATCTGTAGTTTTCGCGTAAATTTGATGAGCCTTTCTTATATATGGGGACTGTAGCGCTCTACTCCCACTCTTTAAAAATTGTCTTGATATTCCATACAGCTTTAAACAATCCTTGAATTGCTTTCTGGAGCTCTTCACTACCATATTTTATGCATTCAGTTGCAATTCCATCTCTTTTCGCTTCTTTATTTCTTTGTATTATTATTACTTTATTTATTAATATTTCATATTCCGAATCACTATAGGATTTTCGATAATACAATACAAATATTAAGACTTTAAGGAATTTCATTTTAATTAAGCCTTTTAAATTTATTATCTAAACTCATATATTCAGAGTAAGAGGGTGTCAGGATAAAATAATCACTTTTACTTAGTGAACCACAACTAAGAATTTATTTATTTAGCATTGTTATGACACTATACTAAAGATTCGACATACCAGTTTACCTTACATCTAACGTTGCGATTACTAATATAATTTGGAAGAAATTGCATATTATTTTGAATCATAATTAAACATTTTTGTTTTAAATCTCCTTACGTTAATGGCTTTAAATATTTCGGAGTGTTACGCTTTAGCATGGTTTAGTATATCTTCTTGAGACAGATTTATATCTGTATCCCTTACAATATTTTTTCTCTCCAGCATAAATTGCGAAATGTATACTTCTCGAGGACAGATTAATCAAGCTGAACAAGCCCAGCTTTCTAACTCCTTATTTCTATAAAGAGTATCGCGCCTAACCCTGAAGAAGCAACAGAGGGCCTAGTTTGTTCTATAGAGGCAGCTTTGGGCATGAACCAGAACGTTGTGGATCTGGATTTTGAGAAAAAGGTCCAGAAGATAGGAACCGCGGCCACCGCCCACCGCCCATTTACGGGGGCTTTCGGGCTGAAGCCCCCCGAAAATTGTAAAATTTAACCATGTTTTATGGTAAAAAATTATATCTTAAAGTATTATTGCTCGTTTAATTACATTTAATAGGACTTCAAGAAACACTTAAACACCATTTCATATAGGTAGTTAGTATTTTTCTGTCTTTTAAAAGTAACTATCGTTATATACATGAAAAAAAAGCTTCCGGGCTGAAGCCCCCCCCCAAAAAAAAAAAAAAAAAATTAAATCCTGGATCCGCTAGTGAATGGTCCCTCCGCCAGACGGTACAGGATGAGGTCATTCACCTTCGAAAAGTTAAAAGAGATTTCTCAACAAGAATCTTGGAAGGGACAATGAGGAAACAATATACTTGAGCGAAGAGATGAGTTTTGGTAATAACCACGTGTATTGGTAGTTTTACGAAGGTCCTTTATTTTTTTATAATATAATTTTATTTTACTTTTTAACTATTATTTCGAAAGGTAAGAGCTCTTTATTTTATTTTGAATTAAATCCTGTTTCATTCTATGCTCACTACTGCTCAAAATTGATATTTATATTATCAAAATATTTATTTATATTTTTCTTTATCTTGCATTTTACAGTTTAAAAATGTATCCCCTACATTAGTTTTAACTTCGTTTTGTCCCACTTTACTGTTTTTTTTTTAATTCCATCATGACAAGTACTTTGATATCCTGCCATTCCCTTCCAGCACACGTTACGAAGAATTTAAAGTTTATTTTCACCACAATTTCTATCATACCATTACCGACTTAGAAACTTGTTATTAAACTTATTATTATCATCAGTTTGTTGGATTAATGTTTACTTGAATAAATAATTAATTATACAGAAAGATAAATCACATTTATTTTAGTTTACATTTAATAACTTTATAACAGAAGTGCAAACATAAAAATATACACTTCTGTCAAATAAAAATATACAAATATACAAACATATTTCTTCTATACTCTTAAACTATACTGATATACACATATATATATTTAGCCGTATATATACATCATATATATACATATAAATATGTATTTTTTTTTTTTTGGTTTTTAACAAGCATAGCATCGAACTAGTCCAACTTCATCACAGTTCATACACTTCAAAGCAATCAATTCAGAATTGAAATGGTTTCTATACACTGACTTCTTACTCCCATTGCACATGTTGCATGGTAGTAGTTGATATCCTCCACAAATTGAGCAGGTAATACACACATCGGAACTCTGGAATAGAAATAAAGTAATGGTTAAATACCCTGCACTGTCCATATAAGTTTATTTAAAAATAAAAAGGATTAATATAAAGTTTTGTTCAAATGAAAGTTCATATACTCATACTTTTAATACTATGTTGTAAAGCTCATAATTAAAAATAAATACATACAATAAATTGAAGGGTTCCCTTTAAAATGGTTATAACAGATTGATTTTGAAACAGATTGGTTTTTTAACATAAACAGAATTTCACCGATTATTTTTGTAAGCCAATTTTTAAACCTTTCATTTACCGCATAGTTACAATTAAATATGTAATTTGGTCAAAGGTAACTTTTTCAGAAATATTAGTTATTACCCTTTTAAAGAAAGATCATGATTTATTAAATGTAAAAATATAATACAATTTTTATGACGATTGATAAAGCTAAGATTGAATTAACTGAATGAATGTTTATTTCACAATCTGCATAAATTTTCAAATCGATTCCCAATCTGCTTCCTAAGAACCTATTTATTCTCTACTCTCCATTGATGACATAAAATGCCTTTCCTCTAACCTCCTTGAATTCCTTAATTATCAAGCACCTCTTAAAGAAGAGAGGCTACTAGAAGACGCTACAGACGAACAAGACTACCGCAGCATTATTCCACATTAAAATCCTCACACAAATATCCTTACGCAGCGCAAAAGCCCAATACTTCAATAACGTTTTATAGCAAGCATCCCAATCCTAAATCCAAATGGACAATCTTTACGAAGCTCTTTGTCGTTAGTTACAAAACCTACACACAATATCCAGTCGACCCGAAGAAGCTAAATTCTTTTTTTCGCTGACCATGCCCCCATCCACATTGGCATCAGACCGCTCGATTTATATCTATCAACGAAATACTCTTCGATCCTCACAAGTCTAATTTTCTCGATATCTCTCCTGCTGATCTACTCTGTGCCATCCTTAAATCCAAAACCAAGGATTATGGTCCTGACCAAACAACTGTTAAAATTATCCCTAACTCTGTTTTCCAGCTTTACTTCCCACACTTCTACACATACAAAATTTCTCTCTCCGAAATTCCATTTTTCCCAGATCCTAGAAAAGATTCATTGTCCGTCCATAAAACAAAGTTCCTGCTCCTTCATCACCTTCGAATTCAGACCCATCTCCATTTTGTCCAATCTATTCAAGCCTCTAGAAAGATTAGTCCACTCTCAGTTGAACAACTTTCTCGACCAAAACAGTCTCATCAATCCTTTACAATCAGGGTTCCGTTCCCATTATTCCATCCAATCTGGCTTGCAAAAGATTATCTAAGACCTCCAATCTTCCATAAATAAACAGAAAGTTTCTATCCTAATCCTTTTGACTTCCCCAAAGCATTTTATTCCGTCAATCATAAGATCCTCCTTTCCAAAATCTAAAGACTGCCCATATCAAATAGGGTTCTAAAATGGTTTCTCTTCTTCTTATCCCATCGCTCTCAGATAGTTATAATTTCTTACCAACAACCGTTGACAACTCTTCAATTACCACAAGGTGTCACTAAGGCTCCTCACTGTCTCCGACCCTTTTTCCTATTTATATTAGTGATCTTCCTGCCTCAAACACCGTTACCACCTATTTGCTGATGATCTCCAATTTTATCAATCATTCCAACATTTCGAGATGCCTGAGGATATTCGAAAGCTACAAGAGGATATCGACTGTATCAACCAATGGGCAGAAATAAATGAGTTAAAGCTGAATGCAGACAAAACTAAGGCTATTCTCATCGGGTCCAAACATTTCATTAATTACTGTTCCATCCATTTTTTCTGTATAGTCAAAAGCCTAGGAGCAACCTTTGACCAGAACCTTTCCTGGACTAACCATATCACCCAGATCACTCGAAAACCCATAACCTATATAGTTAGGTGTGACTCTTGAAGGCCAAGGCAAAATGGGCCTGTATCGTGTATTAATATTTTTAAATCATTAAAGTGAGTTATAAGGTGTTGAAGTTTCACAACAACGAAGTAATGACGAACAATTATAAAATATGGTAAGTATTAGTAATTTAATCTCTTTGATTATTGAACGATTAGACCTTCATTTATATTAGATGAGAACTGCGAAGAAATCATAATACTGTATAACATTAAAATGATTTTAGTAAAAGTCTATAAAATACTTTCTATATGTTATTCATGCAGATTATCTTTAATTATGATATTATTTACTTTATACGGTTTCAGTATGTTTCTGAGTTCTCCAGATTCATTCAGTTTTTCAATTGTGTCCGCATCCTAAAATCAAATAAAATAAGGCACATTAAATAATAATCATATGACAGGTGGATTGAAAGATTAATAAACTTAAAAAAGAATATTTTATGGCTACTTAAGTCATTAGTGTTATTTACAGCTATATGGTTTTAGTAGGAACCCATATTCGTTTAAATAATTATCAAAATCCAATAATTGAAACAAAAAAGTCTGAAATATCATAGTTCTGGGATCTGTGAAAGTCTCTCCAAGGTTTTGTACCTAAAGTATTAAGAAACACTTATGTGTAGATGGTTTAGTTTCACCTTGGTAATTCTTAATCATATTAATAATTTTAGCTTAATTTATGTTAATTGACACTGAAATAACATTGATTATAAAAAGGCTAGGGGTCAGAAGCTTGAGTAGTAGTAGATAGTAGACTAGACTTATATCTAATAAAATTTGGCTAACATCGGAGAATACACATTATTTTCAAGAAATTTAAAAAATATTATTTTCTGCAAACATATAAATATGTAATCCTTAATTAATCGATAGAATTAAGGGCCTTAATTTATTCATCGATCGGATCACCGATAGCTCCGCGGTTCCATAATGGGCCTGTTTGCATTCACTGCCATTAGTCATTTAAATATGGGAACATGTAAACGCATGTAGTAAGATCTGTTCAAAGTAGGAAAATAAACAAGAAGCAACTTGATATAAATAAATATAAAAAAACATACCCCCAAATGTCTTCCTTCAATAAATACTTGTGGTAACTGAACAGTCGTCATTCCCATCCTCTCTCTGATTTCGTTTTGAATTTCTTTGCTCATGAAGACATCCTTCTCAATGAACTTTATTAAATGAGTCCTCAAAATATGTCGAACTTTAAGGCAGCGTTGGAAGGTGTCACGAATCACACCCATTGTTGTCGTGTACACTACGACCTTACCTGCTTCTCGTTCTTGCCAAGACTGTAAACAAATATTTTCATATACTACTAATATTTTTGTAATTAGATATATTTATAAATTGTATAAGTAGGATAAGGACATCTATTATTGGCATATAACCAATCATTGACACTTATAACTTAAATTTTATAAAATAAGCCTTTAGGTTCATATAGAATTTCAAACTTGGCGCCCTTTCAAAGGCTGATAAATGTTCCTTGATTAAGTTAGAAATCCTACCTGAACCTAAACGCTTATTTTATCAAATTTAAGTTACAAGTGTAATTTATATTCAAACCTTAGCCTGCGTTGAGGTCCTTTTTTAGGTCCTGGCTCCGGGGCTAAAAAGGAGGCAGTTTTCCCGGGCGCTAGAATTTAGAGGGTAGCAAATTCGGGAATTTTTATTTATTTTTGACAGAATAAAAATATTTCTTTCTAATCTTTGGTTCTTTTAGCTTAAAAGAATTCAGTTAATAGCACGAGTTTATACTATCTTATGATGATATTTATGTCGAAATATATTTCCTGAAATACTGATATAAAATGTTGTCTCATAATGGGGGCTGTTAAATTTAGCTTGCCCCTCCTGACAACCGTTATTTAAATCGGGTTCTCTGTTTATGGGCTTTAATGTTTTTCCTGATTCGGGGTATCCGTAGTTCACATGTGATGATGGATTTCCGAACATTTGAATCCGATGGAAAGAAAATGACCGATCTCAAAACCTTCCTATTACCAAGCGGTTCAACCATAACGTTTATATTGTATTAAACGCCACATATAGATATAGTTTGTTCAAAATAAACTTTTAACTAATTTTTTCGGGCTATTCAACACAATAAACAAAAATTTATGAAGTTAGGAATAGAAAAATAGTTATAAGAAATGAGGTGATGGATCATTGTTGTTATGATGTTGTTAAGAACCGATTAATAGCACCTGACTTCAACTGAAAAGCAACTGGTGGGGATATGGTCATATCTGTTGAGCAAGCGTAAAGAGACCGTAAAGTCCGACTGTTGATATCTGATTAAAGTAATAATGATTTTAATATCATTTAATAATCTCAATTAATCCGTAGTGTGTAGAAAGTAGTAGACGGCATGTTCAATTATAACACAGGCACATTATAATCTATCTTATCAGTTTATTTATTAAAATAGTTTGTCTCTAAACAAGAGATAAATATCTGTTTTTCATAAAATCATGGTTTGTTAGCATTTTTTTTTAAATCACATTCCAACAAAAATAAAGTTACCCCACTTTTAGAAAAACCTCATTTAATTAGCTTTAAACCCATAATACTTGAGTTGAGTTCGTTGCAAAGTAAGTAAGATTCACCCCAGTTGTGTACAAACATTAATTTGATATTTCGTAACCTCAAAGCATTTATATTTCAACAGATATGACTACCATTAATTTATTACAAAATGTTGATTTTTTTCTGTTTTATTGAATATGTATTCCAATAAATTAATTACGAAAACACTTTTTATTTATAAACAAATAACTGAAAAACAGTGTACAAATAACTGAAAAACAGTATTTTTCATAAAATTTACCATCTAAAGTTATATTGGATAATTGTTTATTTACGGATGTCAATCATCGTAATTGATCCATATTATATTAATTTACTAACTAAATATTCCTGATACTAATGTTTACTTTTTCATGAAAACAATTCTAGCTATTGTTTGGTTTAATTTTTTAAGAACTGTTAATTATTAATAATTTATTGCTTTTAATTTGTATTAATTTTATTATTAATTGATTTATGTTGTAACGGACAATTAGTTCACCTACCTGGCATGGCCAAATGTGCATTTTGCCAAGAAGTTCTATTTTTGTTTCTTGTTATTTCGATGTAAAAAACTGCAATATAAACTTGTAAATATATTTATACAATATGAATGATCTTTAATATTAAAAATTTATAGTTCTAAGGTATACTGATCAAAGCTTAAAAATATCTTTAACGGAAACGAATCATGCTAGCCTTATTGTCAATGGCCTCTTAGTTCACATAATTAGAAATATTTTGCCCCTCCTTATGGGTTATAATAGTCATAGATATATATATGTTCATTATCTATGTAGGCAATTGATCAGTATATTTTACTCATACGTTTTTGAAACCAATTTGATTACTCCTTTATTTCATGATACTCTAACTCTATCTCCTTCTCTCTCTTCCATACAAGGTTTGGATGCTCATCCGTCAGCTTTTAGTCCTCTATTCCAAGTCTGGAGGCTCATCCCTTCGTTGGTATTTTTTCCTCCAGTAAAGTCTGGAGACTCATCTCTCCGTTTGTGGTGCCCATCCTGCGAAGTCATAAGGCTCACCTCATAGCTCGCAGACCCGAGAGTAATTTGGGTGCTCATCCACCTGACAAAAATAAAATATCCAATCCCTTGTAAGTGTCCCTTCTTTATAAAAAGAACTCTATCGTACGGAATACGTTTTCTCTAATGATTATCCAAATGATTCGATATTGTTGCCGTATTCAAACTTTCTTTACCAACGACCTGTCAATAAGAATTTAAGGTAATAACTTATTATTGAAAATTGAAATTGATAAAAAATAAACCCACCAACTTCTTGAATTATTTTCGTGATAAATATAAATATTTGGATAAGTAACACTTAGCTGGTCACTTAATACATGATTAAGATCTGTGTAAAAAAACTTGTGCTATATATTATACCTTATAGATGATTGATTTTTGCAAAAACCTTAATTTTAATATTTTTTTTTTAATAAATAAAACGTATGTTTTTCTGATTCATTTATTGGAATACATTCAATATATTAGAAAGAGTGTAGTTGAAAGGTGATGAAAAAAAGTTGCAAATAATCATGATACTAAAAACAGAACTTAATTAGTTAGTTGATAGTATATATAGGTTTGTATGTTTTTTTACTTTACTTATCTTTAAGTTATTTTATTTTAATTTATTCGATATACTTTTTTATTATTATTTAGTTGTTATTTTGATTATTTTTTTTGTACATGAAGTGTGAATGTGGTCTTAACTCATCATAACTATTGTCTTATTTATTTATTACTCAATAAATAAAAAAGAAGTTTAGTTATTTCAGTTTATTCCCACAAAAGTCCTCTTTAAATTGTTTTAACAATGGCAAACTGTACTTTCATCTGAAGTAAATTTTGTATAGTTTACTGTGCAATTGTTAATTACTTAAGTTAAATATTTTTTTTATTTATCACTTCCTATTCAAGAAAAAGTGTCAACTTTTATATATTTAAATATATGTATATATTTATATATATTTACATATATATGAATTTTTTTGTAACTCTTAAGGTATATAGGGAATTGAAAGTAAAAGTGAGAGACGGTATAACATATTCATTAAAACCCACTAATTATCATGTTTTCACCCATCGAATCCGTTATACGTTTGCATCACCTTTCATTTTCTTTTACAACTGTATACTAATATGATATCTAATAATGACGATTGAGAAAAGCGGATCCCACGAAAAAATTATGAGCTTCATCCGAATCATCCGTCAATATTAATATAAAAAAAGAGTTAATATTAATATTTATTATATAGCATGACGTATCTCAGTAAATTAACAAAATTTATGTGAAAATAATTTTGAAAGTTATGTGTGACTGAAATATAACAGATAAACAAACAATATGAAACGTGTATTTGTTAGTGTTGCCCAAATGCGAGACCGAGACGAGTCTTGGTCTTGCAAACTCAGTCTTGGTCGTGGTATTGGTCTTGCACAAGACTCTCGCTACAGTCTTGCAGTTACTTATTAACTTATTACTATATAGATATTACTGTATTTTTTTAGATAAGAGAAACCTAACTAAGCCTGAATGAAATATTAGAGAAATTGAATGCAAAAGTATATTAGTTATATCAATTGTTAACATACAGTAACTAAGATTGTCAAATATTAGTAACTTTTTTGAATTAATTTTTATTAAAAAAATTGATTTTTTTTGCCAGTACTGGTCTCGGTCTTGCAACAGTTAAGCGGCCTTGGTCTTGGTCTGGCAAAGTGCAAGACCAAGACCGATTTTGGGCAACACTAGTATTTGTAAATAGTTAAACGTCTTATGGAAAAGATTTAAATTATTTTTTACTGTAGCTAGTTAGCTAGTTTTTATTTTCTTTTTTTTATTACTGCGATGGTTTGCCTATACTTATTAACTTCATTTAGTTATTTTTATTTTATTGTTTATAGCAACTATATTGCAGTATTGTAACCCTAATGTTCATCTGCATTGGTTAATATAACTTCAAAGCTATGTATAGACTTATCTTATTACTTATGTTTTATTTATTTTTTATTGTAATAGGTCTTTTGGTCAGATTTATTGTTAATTTGAATGAACAATATTGTTATTCTTATGGGACTTAAATCCCAAAATAAAAATGATTTTTCTGTTCTATTCCATCCCCTCCGGGTGCCTTGTTATTTCAAAGGTCCACCAAGATAATTTCACTGATCTCCCCTATTTCATGTGGAATTTCTTCTCATATTTCTTAATCTGAATGGTTTCTTGAGCCTAACGAGTGGTGGGCCTTTTATTTCACTCCTCATACTTCATCAAAGTATCTCTGTCATCTACCTAGAATCTGCTCTTTATTATGAAGTATAGTATTATTTTATTAGTATGATCTTGGAGTACAGCATTCTGGAACTCATTTACAATTTTCTTGTTTCTTTCGCCCTATAATGGTCTTCCAGTTTTCTGAGTCTCTCATTCTCCTTTTCTTCCTTCCGCACAACTTATTAGCCTCTTTCCTCTTTTGGCGGTAAAGATCAGTGGTTTGCCTTGTCGTACACTGAAGGTTTTGAATACACGTATTTATTAATTATAATTAATCCAAAAATAATTATTGTTATGAAAATGACTAACAACACTTTTTCACTCAATGGCTCATATATTGCTTTATTGATTAGTTTTATGCATTTATTTGGTCCCTGCAGTCTTAAATAGGAGTTGAAGTTCCTAAAAGTTTTTATCTGAAAGCTTCAAAGTTTATTAATCTTAGTTTTATCTGCTTAACCAGACATATGGGATGCATAGATCCGAATAGATTTATGTATAGGTGGAATGTCTATGTGTTCACTTTTTGTCTGAGTTTTAGTTTTGAACGTTTCTAAAGAAATTAATGTAAAAGTGTCAGGTAAGCAGACCCCATGTTCATTCTTTAGTCAATGTTGGAACAAGGTAGACTACAGTTTCATCTATGGAATATGCACAAAGTCAGGAAAACTAGCAAACATGTTTACTATCGAAGTGTAAACTCGGTGTGATACGATTTGTCGGGATTTGATTTGGGTTACACATAGTTGAGTCATGCCATGTAATTTTGACAAATACTACTTTAGGATCTATGAAGCGTATGTAACTTTAAAGAAAAAGAAATATTTTAAGTTTTTTTTGAGAATCTTTAGTGCAGGTTAAATAAGACTGCTGGACGATCCAAACAAATTTCCGATTTAATAATTTATTCTTTAGTTTTATTACTATTATCTTACTTATTAATTTTTATTACTATCGTCTTGTTACTGTTATTCTGCACTCTTATTGCCCTTACACTTTTATATTTATTATTTTAATGATGTTTTTTTATATTAAATCCCATTAGCATATACATATTGTATTATTCATAACCGAATTCAAATTATGCTTATACTAATAAAACAGCGCTAATTATTAATTATACTTATATTGTAATATTATTTTTATAAAACTTTTTATGTGATTCTAAAAACTCGATGTAATAGGCATGTAAGTTCGGCCATCTTCGAATAGTGTCAATTTTCAGTTTCTGTTAATAACTTTTCCATCACAATCTAAAAACATACTTCGAAAATTTCACAATTAAATAAAGATAAGTATGGGGAGGGAGGGGAGGGGGGATAGGAAGTGCTTGCGGGCAAGATGTGGAGTACGTGTCGTAGTTTAGACACTTACACTATTTATGTTACAAAACAATATACGAGTTGCTATGAAGACGTGCCTTTGAAAAACTGTATATATATATATATATATATATATATATATATATATATATATATTATATATATATATATATATATATATATATATATATATATATATATATATATATATATATATAATCTTGGCTTAATCCTGGTACGCAACTATTGTTAAACATTTATTGCTGGCTTGTCATAACTAAATCCGTATTACATGATGAAAGAAAATCAGATCAAGAAAAAGAAAATCAAACTTCCAAACTTCATCCAATCATTTTCCATCACTTGGAAGGATTCGTAATCCCTTATAGGCTCACATTGCTTCCATCTCCCACTTAACTTTAAGCACTAGCGGATCCAGGATTTCATTTTGGAGGGGCTTCAGCCCAGATTCTTTTTTTTTTTTACAAAATAAAAAAAAAAACGATAATTACTTTGGAAGACAAAAAAGAAACTAACTACCTATACGAAATGGTGTTTAGATGATTTTTGAAGTCCAATTAAATATAATTACACGAACAATAATACCTTTAGAGATAATTTTTTTCTTAAGACATGGTAATGTTTTACGGGTGATAAATATTCAGGACGCAGTCTTTTTTAAAAATTTTTATTTTTGCCAACGTTTCAACACAAACATGTGGGTCATCTTCAGGGCTGAAACTGTTTTTTAAAAATTACAATCAGAGATATAATAGTATACGACCGCTAATTATAAATAATAAACTATAGTGATTGATGGCACATGAATCTTAACTAATATTGTAATACACATATTAAAATACAATACAAACTAAAAATAAAAAATAATGTGTATAATCCATGTGTATAAATTTGTAATATTTTCTCTTCCTAACCGCGGTTTGAGCACTGAGGGTGTTCAAGTACTGCCACATGTTTGGTAGGTAAGTAAAAAGGTCAGAAGTGGAGGATTTCCCAGTTGTCCTTTTTCAGATAGCAAAAGGTAGGTAAACAAGGTTAAAGGGGAAGGGGGGGGGGGTAACATTTATGTTTGTAGAATATACATAATTTGCTAACAAATATTTCAGACGTGTACAATATTCGAGTTATTTCATATGGTTACAGAAATGTGACTATTGACTAGTATTGTCACATACTATTATATCTCTGATTGTAATTAAAAAAAAAAAAAACATTTTCAGCCCTGAAGATGACCCACATGTTTGGGTTGAAACGTTGGCAAAAATAAAAAAAAATTAAAAAAGACTGCGTTCTGAATATTTATTACCCATGATATGTAGAACAATCGACTAACTTCCTCCGCTAATGTTTTACCATTTTGGGTTTACGGACTGAAGCCCTTCCCTCGATCCGGCTGTGACTGGAAGTAGTCAAGGTATTTACTAGTAGTTTGCAAAGGATAACTAATATTGCTATTAGGAAATACTTTTAATATATATATTGAAGGGAACACGTAGCAAATAGATACGAACGATGTCAGGGGCAAGCTAGAGCAAAATTTTATTCAGTTTTTACATATTTAATAAAAGAAAATACTAAATAAAAAATTAAAGGTAATGAATTCTAGATAAATCATGTTTTATGGAAACTATGTTTTATGGAAATTTGAGACATTTAAATAATACTAAAATAAGGATGAAGCTAGAAAAAATCCTAACTGAAAGTCACGAGCCTCCAACATACATGTGAATAGTAAACTTGCCAATGTTTCGCCAATTCAGGCATCATCAAGGGTAGAAAACCCATGAGCACTTAAATGCCGAATATTATGAATGCATTTAAGTGATCTTGCTTTTTCTGCCCCTGAATTTGCGAAACATTGGCAAGTTAACTATTCACATTGAAATAATATTAATATTTTTATATTACCTTTTCTCTAATGTACCTTGCTTACCTTGCTATCTTTCATTTCGAGGAAAGTAGCAATACCAGCACGAACCCTGTTCTTGACTCCCCTGATGGAGCCTCGAGAACTTTTAATAGTAGAGAAGTCGAGACCGACACACTTCCTGCCTGCAAAAGTTGTAATGTCCATGTCTTGACAGCCAGCTCGCTTGTGGTCGTGGCCATCAAGGTTTTTTTCAGACAGGTGGAATCTGAAGAAGGAGTCCGGATGAGCGTATGTCATCTCGAGTTCGTTCTCGCTGAAGTCGGACGTGACGTCATCCTCCCTGACGAAACTCCTTTGATCGTTATCGCTGCAAGTCCCACTGTCCTCGCCGCTCTCTTCCAGATTGTATTGTCCATTCTGTCCATTTTTCAGGCTTTTATGGATCAATGATTTTGTGTTTGATCTCTTGTTCATTTTCTTTAGCCCCTTGATGAACTATACACCATCACAGTTATTTTTATAATAAGTTCCTAACATCACATGTTTCACTTTCACAATTCCATACTGCTAGCCTCGTACTTCTTCCTTTCCTCCGAGGTGAGTGACTGAAACAGTAAATAAATTGTAAGAAAAAGCAATTTAAAAATGCATTCTTACATTACTATATTTGTAATTATTTCTTGAATCTATCAAATAAAAATATATCAATGGCCATAATTATTTTTTCCTGAATGTCATATTTGTCTGGATGAACGAGGATACCAATAATAATGAAGTAATCGGGTAATGTAGTGCTAATCACACATTCGCAAATATATTTCAATCTTTCTATATTTCTGTCAATTTCAAAATGGTGTAACATTCGTTTGTCTTACTTTTATAGAGACAAATATACATATCAAGGCATTAGGTTCATTCTTGTTAAATAATAGTTTTATTCATTACGGTGTAGAGATGAGCAAATGCTACTTTGAGTATCGAGTAACAAGTATTTTACTCATATTTAATCCCTATTGGGAATTAAATCATTACTTCAATTAATCGTCTGAAAACAACTAAAGTAGTAATAAAATTTGTTGATACTAAAAAAGGTCAATATAGGAGCAAAGTACTAAGCACTCAGTAATCAGAGTAGCATTTGTCCAACTCTATCGTAGATTATAATTTAAGAAGTTAATTAAAGAAGGGTGCTGTCGATATTTAAAATACTATATTACATTGTAGCACTAGCGGATCCAGGATTTAATTTTGGAGGGGGGCTTCAGCCTGAAAGATTTTTTTTCTTCATATACATATAATGGTACTTAATTAGAAAAAAAAAAGAAAGAAATTAACTACCTATATGAAATGGTGTTTAAGTGGTTCTTGAAGTCCTATTAAATGTAGTTACACGAACAAGAATACTTTAAGAGATAGTTTTTAATATTTTTTTCTATAAAACATGGTTATATTTTACCATTTTTGGAGAGGGCTTCATCACGAAAGCACTCCCCGTATTGCTTACTACCGTGTCAGATGGAATGCATTGAAGAAGACCTACAACGTAGGTCGAAACGTTGGATAGTTCAATAAAATACAATTATATAATATAGTATTTACATATTATACAATACCTCCTTACATCCCAAACAGACGATTCGCAACCATAAATTTCATTTCATGAACTGAATTTGTTAGAAGTAAATGGTGGTGCCTACTGTTTAAGTTTTAACATAAAACATCAATGATCTTTGTCACCTAGTTTGACTATTATTTTTACTATTTATTTGTTTTTCTCTTCACTTCAGGTCGAGCTTTTTCTTTCGGGTATATATGTTTATATTTTATACTTTTTGTCTCTCCAAATCGAGTATGTAAGTAGATATAGTTATTTTTTTTTTTCCATTACACCAGAAGTAATCCTGAGATTTTATTTTTATTTATTTTAGTGTTTGCATATTATTATATAAATCACAGTAGATATTATTACATTTTGTATTAAGTTATTTTTCTATCAAATAGCCTACAGTTTATAAATTGTGTTCTCATGCATATATATAAATATGTAATTTCTTTTCTTTCTTTTTTTTTCATCACAACAATAAGTAATTTTGAGAAGATTTTATGTTCATTTATTTTTTTTGTTTTTTAGTGGTTACATAATATTTTTAACCAACTAGGTTTTTAGAGAGTTATCTGAGTATACTTTATGGTGTTTCAGCTTAATAATATTTTAGTATTTGAAATATATTTTTTTACATCATGGACCTAACTCAATTGAAGCCAAGATGATACGAGGTTACTTATGTTAATACATTAAAGGACAGCTCGTTTAGATATTGTAACCGCTAACTGCGAGAAATACTGAATCAATCATAACGAAATGTTAAATATATATTCGTAATGATTCGTAGCCGGTTTAGAAATTATAAAACCAACAGAATTTTAGGTCATAGAACGATTTTCAAGGCTCTCTTATACCTCCTCTCAATGTAATGAAAAGTTCCATGAATCCGAAAAATCTACTGTCATGACCAATACTTTCTTTCAGGCTCCATTTAGTATCTTCTTCTTCCAGCTTTCTTCAATGTCATTCCTTTCACGTCTGACCAATGAATATACCCTCATCTGGCTACCTCTACTTCACTTTCTTTCCTCATTCGATTTTTAAGGCATGACTTGATCGCAGAATTTTTTCTAGGAACTATATAAGGTAAATAAAAAGTCTTTAAAGAGTTCCATTATCCTTACAATATTAGTTTATGTTATCAATACCTCTGATTCACAAGCGGCACATTTAAAAATTTCAACAAGGTTTCTTTTATAAGACTGAAGATTATTACCAAGTTATTGTGATTTTAATAAAATTTTGGTATGGTTGATTGATTTTAATCTCCAAACTGATGGGAAATTTTTGGTCCCTTCAATGATACCATTTGGATCAACAGCGGATCCAGGGTATAATTTTGGGAGAGAGCCCAAATGATTTTTTTTTTATACATGTAGATTATCAATTTGGAAGAAACAGAAAGAAACTAACTACCTATACGAAATGGCGTCTAAGTCCTTTTAAATGTAATTAATTACGTGAACAATAATACTTTTAGAGATAATTTTTTCATGTGTCATTGTTTTATTTTAAGATTTTGTGATGGAGAGATCTTCAGTCCGAAAGCCCTCCGTAGATCCGCCTTTGATTTGGATTCATCATCGGGAAAGATCGTTTTTAGAAGCGTTTCAAGAAGGCTTAATATTCAAGTCAAGAATTAAAGTTTAAAATCCGGATGGTCAATGGGAATTTTTTCAGAAATGTGGTGCGGGATTGTTGCCAGGCGTTTCCTGATTCTTGTTCTATACATCCTGTATATAATTAAATTTTATTTTGTAATTAATTGGCTATAAAAATGAAAATAATAATTCAACTCCTATTGTGATAGGAGATCAAGTATTCCTGACGCGTGAAATCAAGTATTCCAAGACAGGGAACCTTTGTAAAAGCATATGGATGTGTAAAAATTCATTTTTATTTAACTTGAGGAGCAACAGTAGCAACCACAGGTGAATCAATGGGGGAGGGGGGAGGGCTTTTGGGCTAAAGCACCCTCTCAAAAATGGTAAAATATAATTAAGTCTTACGAAAAAAAGAAGTCTTCAGTTCATTTATCTACTTAATTGCCTCTTGTTCACTTTCCGCCATAAGTGCTAAATCATCCGCGAAAGCCAAGCACCTGATATTTACTCCTTCTCATTTCCCCCCAATCCTTACACCAGATTTATTGGAACCACAAAATGTTCTCATAATTTTGTCCAAAACTATATTGAATAAAGTAGGTGGTAATCCGTCTCCTTGTCTTAACACTGTTTTAATTTCGAATGGTTTACTGGTTTTCCCCTTTGAATCTAATTTTAGAATACTTGTCAGCTACAGTTAGTTTAATCAGATTTATAGTTTTTTGTTATATTCCGTATTCCCTTAGTACGTTTCTTTATATATTAATAAATAAAATTTGTAGGGTTGAGGCCTCGCCGCCCAAAAATTAAATCCTGGATCCCGAAGTGGAAACAACAAAACATGAACAAACTGTGATAGTCAAATATGCGAGGCAAGCCGAGGCTCCAGACATTTGCCACCTTATATTTTTAATTTTCAATTTCAGAATCAGCAGCTTCGATGTCAGACGCCTCTATCAAGGCCCCAAACTTTCAATCCTACCTTTTTAACTTCACATCAGTAAATTCACTAACATGATATACTCCTCTAAGTTAAAACTGAGTATGATAACTCAGAGAAAGTTATAAAAATAATAATAATCAAGTAATAAAAAAATAAAATAAAAAAATTAGTATAAGGCTGAAGGCGGTATTCCGCTGATTAACTACGTTTTCTAAGTATATAACTATTTTAAATATTTTTAGAAGTGATATAAAAAGAAGAGAACTTTTTCAATTTATTTTGTCATAAAACTTTGTTCGTTCTTGTTTGACATTTAATTGCTAACGGCATTTGAATTTTAACGTTTAAAAAATCGACTTTATTGGATTCTTTTATTGCCTAAGCCAATTATATTTTTATATTTTCCATGCTTTGCCATTTTTCCACTTTCCAACTTTAATTTGTAACTTGTAAGGTCAGTAGGTTCCAGTCCACAGACTAACGCAATACTTTTGGTGGTTGTAATTAATCGCTCAAATCATATACATATCGAAAACCTAATTTTGTTATGATGATGTAGTCTTCAGTACTTTATATTGAACATATATATGTATATTATTGAACAAACGTGAATATTAATTAATTATTTGAATAAAAAATCTTTAGCTTAATAGTCTACTAGGTAAGTGAATAAATATTGTTTTTAAAAATGGTTAAAAATATAGAGCTGAAGAGTGTCGATTAAACGGAGTCAATTGTTTTTCGTTTTATGTTCATAACGAAATATACCTCTTCCACTCAAGATAAAAATAGTATACTTATCATTTAGTAAATATCTCATCGAGCAGTAATTAAAAGTTAATAAATGGCATGTTAAAAGCTGTTGTTAAGACATATTGTATATTTCTATAATTTATCAATAGGTAAATGATAAACCATTTATTTTTTTTATTATTGTGAAGCTCACCGTCGATCGATGGTGATTAATATAGTTATAATATATTTATTTGTTTATGGGAAATATCTAATCAAACCGAGTTAGTTTGTATAGTAAATTTTATAGATAGAAGCCACGAACATAACAGTAGTAATCAACCTCATTTTGCCTATAACCGTCTCAAAGAAATAATAACTAAAATTTAGATAAACACTCATGACTGCACTGTATTTGAAAAAAAAGAAGAGGTATTAAGTAAACGGTTTAGTTTTTTTTAAATTATAATTAAATCCTTATAATTTTGGCAACAAAAAAATAAAAACAAAAAAAAAATGCGAAAACTTAATCGTTTTATATATATATATATATATATATATATATTTTTTTTTTTTTTCTGTTGGCATTACAGACCATGCAGATCTTTTGCCGCATTAACAAGTTTGCTTCAATGTTTATAGTCCAGTCAATGAATGTACGAAAAGGGGGTATAGAAGGAAATGGCGGGGAAACAATTTTTGACTTTGGGACATTGTTTG